GGTTCGATGACCTTTCGTGTTTGATGGGACTTCTGATGAAAATTATTTCTGTTAAAAACGTAAAACTACATTGTAATTTTTATGAATGTCTTTGTACATCTTTATCTCTCTTTTCAGCTTCTATTTATAAGAAGTTAAGGATATAAACAAATCAACAATAAATCAGAAAGAAATCAAGGAGTGATTGCAAGAGATTTGCTCAATATCAGGAGCGATTGCTGAATATCGGGAATGGTTGCTAGAGATCTGCTGAATATCAGATTCCAGATTTGATATCCTTTAACATCCCCCCGCAAGCTGATGTGAGAGATCTCACAGTAAACTTGTACTACAATAGACGAAATCGAGTGGTAGATAGGGCTTTGCTGAAGATGTCCGCAGGTTGATCTATGGAGGAGATGTACTGAACATGGAGTTGCTTCTAAACCACCCATTCCCGAACGAAATGATAGTCAATCTCAACATGCTTCGTTCGGGCATGAAAAACGGAATTACCGGTGAGGTAAAAAGCAAAAATATTGTCACACCATAAGACAGGAGGACTCGGCAAGGAGACATGGAGGTCACGTAATAAGGCTTCTGTCCATATGAGCTCGGCAGTTGTATTGGCTAGACACTTAAATTCCGCTTCGGTGCTAGAGCGAGCTATAATCCGTTGTTTACGGGAGCTCCAGGAAATAAGATTAGATCCAAGAAAAACACTATAACCACCAACAGACCTACGAGTGTCATGGTCACTTGCCCAACCTGCGTTGGAGAAAGCATGTAGTTGACAAGTAGAGCTGCAAGTAAGTAGAATACCATAATTACTAGTACCACACAGAAAACGCAGAATACGCTTAACAAATTGCCAATGTGCATCGGTGGGAGCATGCATGAACTGACACGCGGTATTCACCGCATAGGCAAGATCCGGCCAAGTGATGGTAAGGTACTGGAGAGCGCCGACAGTACTACGATATAAGGTAGGATCATGAAATAAAGCTCTGTGCTACAGTAAAGACGGGTCAGTACCAGTAACACAAGGAGTCGTGACTGGTCGAGCATCTTGCATATTGGTACGTTGAAGAATGTCGTGTGCATACTTGCCTTGATGGAGTAGTAGACCTTTGTCAGTTCTTTGCAATTCAATGCCGAGAAAATAATGGAGCTCGCCGAGGTCCTTAATAGCAAATTCTCATTGTAGGGATTCGATTAGAGTAGATAAAGGCGCTGAGGGCGACCCAATTAAAGTTATATCATCTACATATACCAAGAGAAACACATTGTATACTGTCGAGTGAAGCATAAATAAAGAGGAGTCAGCGCGAGATACTTGAAACCCAATAGAGAGAAGAAAAGAACTTAGTCATTGGTACCATGCACGCGGTGCCTGTTTTAGTCCATAAAGTGAGCGTTGAAGATGGCATACATGGTGAGGATGAGTAGAGTCGACGAAGCCTAGAGGCTGTTGCATATAACTTTCCTCTTCAAGATGACCATGGAGAAAAGCATTCTTCACGTCCAATTGTCGAAGCTGCCATCCCTGACTGAAGGCAAGAGAAATAACGGTGCGAATCGTTACATGTTTTACCACGGGACTAAAAGTTTCATGGAAATCTACCCCTTCTTGTTGATTGAAGCCTTTGGCGACTAACCGAGCCTTGTATCTTTCAAGGGATCCGTCAGCCTTCAGCTTGACTCGAAATACCCACTTACAACCAATGGGTTTGCACTATTTCGGTGGAGATACAAGGGTCCAGGTTTGATTGTGCATCAAGGTAGTGTATTCTTCATTCATAGTCGCTCGCCATGCTAGATCTTTATTTGCTTGAGTGAAGGAAGTCGGTGTTGGTATTGAGGAAGCTTCGGTTTGCAGGGCATAAGTGTGATTAGCCCGAAGTTGACGCCGTGCCAACGTTCCATCCTGCAGCCTTGTCACCATAGGATGAGATGAGGCAGCTGGCGATGAAGGAGAGTTGGAGGTGCTGTCACTATCGTTTCAAACATCAGTAGTGGGTGGATCTGGGAGCAAAGATGACTCCGATTTTGAAAAAGGTGTTGGAGAATTTTGTTGAACCTGTATAGGAGAAAGAAAATTAGTTGGGGCAGTAGAGATGCGCTCCATTGACTGAGGTTGTTGCACGTTTTCGTTCAAAAATGAAAGGAGCATAAGACATTCTGGAGCCGCAATAGTGGTTTGACAAGCATTCATTGGACCAGAGGTAGTAAAGGGAAATAATTGCTCATAAAAAATTGCATCGTCAGTGATGTAGATGCGATGATCTCTTAGAGAATAGCAACGGTAGCCCTTGTTGCACGACGGATATCCTAGAAAAATGCATAAATGAGATCTGGATTGGAGCTTGTTCTTTGCATAAGATCGAAGATTGGGGTAAACCACACACCCGAAAACCTTGAGGTGCTGAATAGAGGGAACAGCTTTATGAAGTGTCTCCCATGGTATTCGGTTCTGTAGAACTGGTGTCAGCAGCCGATTGATAATATGTACTGCAGTCTCAAATGCAAAATCCCAGAAGCGAGGCAGCACAAAAGCATGGTTAAGCATTGAAAGGCCCATTTCAACAATATGGCGATGCTTTCTCTCAGCTGTGCCATTTTGATGATGTTGATGAGGACATGAGGTCCTTTGATGAATGCCACGATCCTGTAATAAACGCTGAAAAGAGTCCGAGAGAAATTCGCGTGCACAATCACACTGAATGGCTTTAACTGTGGTGGAAAATTGATTTTCCACAAAATTAAGGAACACAGAGAAAATGGAGAGGAATTGATCACGAGATTGCAACAAGTATAGCCATGTAAATTTGGAGTAGTCATCAACAAAACAAATAAAATACCGATTATTAGATGTAGAGGTTACAGGAGCTGGACCCCATACATCAAAGTGAATTAACTGCAATGGAAAGGTAGACCTATGATGGGTGGGTGCATGAAATTGACTATGACTCTTACTAGACATACATGCAGGACACGGTGAGAGTGCGACCAATGATTTATTAAGAACTTAACCAACAACTGAGAAGGCGGCATAACCAAGTCGGTTGTGCCACAGACGAACAAGATTGGTTGCAGAGGCTTAGAACATGGACGGAGATGACGATTGCGAAGAAGACGCTGGAATGAAATAAAGGTCGTGATCAATTTCAATTTCCCCTTGAAGTAGAGTCCTCCCCATGTGACGACACTTCACAGAAAAGGAGTTTGATGAGAATAGGAAATCACAGTTGTTTTCTTGACAAAACTTACGTACAAATAGCAAATTCTTTTTGATTGTGGGAACAACGAGAACATTAGACATAGCAAAATGAGGAGAAACATAGCTACCTGTGTGAGTAATGGGTAGATGGGACCCGTTACCTATGGTGACTTGTTGGGATCCAAAATAAGGCTAAACATTAGACAGATCGGAAGGATTATTTGTCACATGGTGGGTAGCACCAGAATGAGGATACTAGGATTCACTGGAGAAGATGGAAGGTGGAGGAGGAATTTCAGCCGAGTTGAGTTGAGGAGAAAATTCGGATGCTGGATGCTGAAGATATCTGTCACGGCAAACATTGGCACTGTGATCGTATTTGTTACAAATCTGACACCGAAGATTGCTTCGTCTCTGACTCTAGTTATTGCCAAAAGACGGATTGAAATTGGTGTTGAGATTCCGATTGTGATATTGCTGGCCAGCCCCTCGATAATTTCTATCTCTTCCTTCTTGATTCCGTTTTTGGAAAGAATGCCCATTACCTCGAGAATATCTGACAGCATGTTGTTGTCGTGATCTTTGAGGTTGTGAGGAAACCATTGTAGGCCCATCAAAATGTGCAGCAAATGCAGCCGGTGGAGCAACACTAGACTCCATGAGGTCTAAGCGTGCTTCATGGGACAATATGAGACCGTGAAGGGCATCTCTAGTCATTGTTTGATTTTGACTTTGCACTGATATAAATACTGCAAGACTTTGATATTCGGCTCCCAATCCACGAAAAATGTGAGTTTGATACTCATGATCGGAAATAATCTCGCCAATCGAAGCGAGTTGGTCTACAAGAACACTGGCTTGTTGAAGAAATTCCGTAACTGTTTGGTTACCTTTCCGAAGAGCTTGCAGCTGCATTCTAAGATGAGTTGTTCTAGCAAGATTATGAGCAGCATAAGATGTACCAAGGAATTCCCATGCTTCTGCGGATGTGTTGAAATTTGAAAGCTGACCGACGATGGCGTCGGATGTCGTGCTAAGAATCCACCCAAGTGCGATTTGATCGCGTGTTACCCACTCGTCATATGGTGGGTTCGGAATAGTGGTGGTGGTTCCATCTGCTTTTTGCACAATTTGGCTAGGTGGACATACGGAAGATCCTTCCACAATTGGTAGTAATTTGCTTGCTCGAAGACACAGTAATAGGCGTGCCCTCCAAATAACAAAATTGTCTCCTGTGAACTTGACTCCATTTGCTCGACAGGAGATGGAATTTGCAGGAATTCCGGTGGCTGTGGATCCAAGTACCTGGTTTGTTAAGCCAAAGATGGTACTTGAGATCGAAGCAGATGTTGAAGAAGGCGAGGATGCCATTTGAGAATAAAAGAAAGCTTTTGCTAGAAAAGCTCTTATACCATGTTAAAATGTAAAACTATATTGTAATTTTTATGAATGTTTTTGTACATCTTTATCTCTCTTTTCAGCTTCTATTTATAAGAAGTTAAGGATATAAACAAATCAACAATAAATCAGAAAGAAATCAAGGAGTGATTGCAAGAGATTCGCTCAATATCAGGAGCGATTGCTGAATATCGGGAATGGTTGCTAGAGATATGCTAAATATCAGATTCTAGATTTGATATCCTTTGACAATTTCAATAAGAGTTTTGACAAGGGATGATTGTTCAAAATGTCCTAAACGTTATTATACACCGACCGATTCAATCCCAAACCTTTCAGTTATGACAATTTAGTCCTAAACCTTTTGAAGTTTTGCCAATTTTGTCTCAACTTATTATTTGGATAATTGGCCAAAAGGACTACATTAACAAATCGTCAAAATGTTTAAAATTAAATTGGCACAATTTAAAGGATTAGAACTGGATTGGCTAACGTCCAAAAGGCTTAGGACTTTTTGAATAATTTTCCCGTTTTGACAATGTTAAGAATGAGCCCAAGCTAATTTTAACAGAGTGTCCGATCTCGTTGAACGATTGATCAATCTCCCACCGGGGTGCAACAATCACCTATCCCAAGCTGGCTGACTTCTCTTTGAACGTTCGATCAATCTCCCATCAGGTGCAACAATCACCCGTCCCAAGTCGGCCCGACTAATTGTTAGAGGATCTAATTCCGTCCTCCTCCTCGAGGCGCTCCGAGAGAATGCACGAGGGCGGCGATTCGAACACAGGTCCTGCACCAAGAAAACCAAGATTCAATTGCCAGTCTCGGGTCATATCTGATGTGAATACTCCCATCAGTCCTACCGGTCTTTGCCTTTATGTTGCATCCGTTCCGCCGCTTCGTTGCCCGTGTGGTCCTTTCCCTAATTTTAGTTTCTTTTAATTAATTATCATTCTAAATTTTGTTACTTTTTCCCCTCTTGAAATGTAATAGTAACATTCCGACCACAAAAAAAAAACAAACATGTAGTAATAACACAATTTGTGGGGGCCCATTGGAAAAGTTACATAGTTTAATAATATAACACGTGCTAGCTACGAAATCCGACAATCTCCATATCTAACATTCCACCTAATTACACTTCAAATTTAAAACGTGGAATTGAAAGAGCGACTTTTATTTTTCAAAATTTTCTTTTCTCTTAGCATTTCCAAAAGTTCACTTTTGATATGAGTTTTACAACGAAAATCATTTAAAACATATACAAATTCGACATACATAAAGTCATCTAGAATTTTTTTGTCCTGATTTCTCAAACCCACGGTGTGTATCGCCTTGCATTTTGATATTTCCGAGGAACAACCGAAAGTACTTTTCTTAAACGAAAAATCTAACGAGCCCTTTTAAAATCACAATCACGTCACGAGTTATATGTACACATCAATTTTTTATTCATTTGATTCAAGATATAACTCTAAACTATACTAACTTCTTTTCTTTCCCATAGCGATACTACATATTTGGTTCACCACTAATAATTCAACATGAAATGCATCACGTTGCAATTTGACATATATTATAGGTGGTTTTTTTGTCGTTTTTATCGATATATGTTACATTTTTAGAGCCCATTGAATGCATAGAATTTTTGTCTGTACGTTTGAATATGATATGCATTGAGAACAATAATGTATCTCCATATCATTTTATTGAGAAATTAAAGCATGGTGGCCAAAATGTGCCACCTAAGTTTTTTTTAGGTGGTGGCAAATTACCTAACGATATTTTGGTTTTTAAACCTAAGCTGAGCATAATTCGGTTCAAATCGCCGTAATATGATTTGGAGAGGTGATTTAAAAATTATGTCCACCGCACCATGTTGAAATTTAATGGTTTGGTTCGGGGTAGATTTTTTCCCGAACCAAACTAAACTGCAAACTGAATTAATCTTTGTATAGTATAATTCGAATTTTTATTTTTATAGTAGGGGAGATATAAGTAGGTGAGGAAAAACAAGGAAAGGCAGAGAGGGAAAGACTCCAAAAGGGGAAGAAGAAAACTGAAAGAAAGAGACGCGAGTAGGTGAGAAAAATCATATTATTGCAGTGGGTTTCAATTTTTCATGCGAGCCGAACCGTGCTCGCACCTTGGCAACGCGATATGGGGTTGCTTTTGGGCGATAGCAGCATTGTTGCTTCGCTGCCGGCCATCCACATTCGTCGCCCCTCTCTCTAGTCAATTTCTTTTTTTTTTTTTAATTTCCTGTCCTAAATTGCATTAAGACATGTTATCATATTTGACTACAAAATTAATCATTCTTACCACCTATTTTTGTACATACTATATGTCACACCCCGAAATCTACCAGGATGGGAATGACACGACCGTCCTTCCACCCGAAAGGCGCAGCCTCAAACCACCCAAAAGTCCCCACGACAACGCTCTCACTCTATAGGCTACTAACCTGAAATGATTGGGAAAAGAGAGGAGTGAGCAACCACAGCTCAGTAAGCAGTGCTTATCTCTTCTAAGCAGATCGAGCAACCACTATGCATAAAGCCATACCAGAATTTCAAAAGCCAAACTCAAGATATCAAATACATATAGAATCACATAAGAGTTGTTTCATTTCATCAAAGCTTTGTACACGTCACAAATACACATTTTAATCCACCATCACAATTCAAACTATCAATGGTCAAGTCCATTGATCAATCTCTATAAAAACCACGTCAATGGTCCATTCCATTGACTAATCTCAAATCACACATCAATGGTCTATTCCATTGATAAATCTCATATCGCATCACATGTCGATAGTCCATTCCATCGACCAATCTATTGCTCAATATCTAACCATGGTCACGACACAAAACCTTGTGACAAGGCTACCAAGATTCCCCCCTTTGCAAGGTCTCCACCTACAAAGCCGGTGGCTCGACCCAGAAGGATATCCTAAACTGGTATGCATACCCCCAAACTCCTCAATGGGTTCACAAGCATATTAAGCATCAAACAATCATCATCCAATGTCATAAATCCAATCCAGAATACAATCTCATAAACCAAACAATTAACTTTTCACAACATAAATCATCCACCATTTCTCAAATCATTCATAAACCAATTTCACAAACCAAGTATATAACATTTCACAACTCAACTCAATCACCAAAAATCCTTTTTGTAAAGTATTTCTCAAATCATTTGAGAACTCATTTCTCAAACCATAATACATTTCCAATACCCATTTCAAATCAATATATATACCTCGTTTCGCAACGTCATTCCCAAAACATATCTAAAACCTTTTACAAATACCAAAATATAGTAAATGCCCGATCCATACTTTTATGCAACAAATATGTTGTTTCACAGTTCATTATATATCGAGTCTATTTCGCTTTCAAGACATGAGTTTCGAAATTTATAGAAGAGATAACACCACTCACCTGGAATTCCCAAAAATCAAATAACAACGCTCACTTGAACCGACGATTTCGTAATCCTATCAATTAAACGAGAATCGATGTCAAAACCAAGTAAAATACTATGATAACTACGAAATGGCTAAACAATGCTTAAACGCTAACAAGACAACTCAAAGGCGCCCACAAACTGCTCATCCAAAGCGATTATCCAAACCGTCCGCAACGCGGAACTTGAGCGCGAAATTTGATCGCACCATAAATTCCTCCACCGAACCCCGTTTCAAGCGAGCTTATAGTCAATAGAAAGCCCATTGAGAGCACTACAAGAACCCCAACTTGGCCGTCCCAAAATCAAGCCGAAAACCGACGAAAAACAGCCAAAAAGCCACTGGTCGCTCACTGTTCACCTTGCGCGGCCAACTTCAAAAATTCATATTGGGCAAACCGTAAGTTCAAATCAAGATCAGTAAAATCTCACGGCTCCACGACACTCTAAACTACCAATTCTATATATATACACAGCTCAACAACTCAAAAATTGGATTAGGCGGCTTGAATATTACCCAATTCCGAAATTTGAACCCTAACCCGAAAAATACTCCGATAGAACGAGCGAGAGGCTCGAATACTTACCGGATGTTGCGATACGAAGTAACTCCGGCTTGGCGAGACTCACGTGGCGAGTACGCATCTCTTTCTTCTTCTTCTTCTTCTCTTCTTTCTTTCCTCTCTTTCTTTCCCGATTGTCTTGTAAGCTCTCGATCTTCTCTCTCTCTCTCTCTCTCTCTCTGTCTCTAAGCTGTTTTTTCCTTTATATAGCTGAAGTCCACTTCTTCTTCTTCTTCTTTTATTCTTTTTGACTTGTCAACTCTTCTTTTCTTTTGTTTTTTTCTTATTTTTGGATAAAAAGTCCAAATATTACACTATACGTTTTTTATGACTGGTTTGTCCTCAAAAAACCAGCAGCGCAGTCTGAACTTGCAGCAAAACTTGGCCAAAGTCGATGTAGGGGCACGTTACAACCGATTTCAAGATGACAAGGGGCAACTTAAAATATAACGGAAACTTCGGGGGGCAAATTACAATCCCAGAAACTTAGAGGACATAATATAAAATGCGCCTGTGCATGGACTTGACATTTGCATCGTACTTACAAACATCTTTGGAATATGTGTTATTTAATTTCTGGCGGCATTTCGGGTCGATTCTCAGGTTTCCATCCATAAGCTTGATATTTCGACTTGCCATATTCTTTTCTCAATCTAACAATTACGATCTCACACGGTTGAATGAGTTTTAATTTCTTTGACAACAAAGTTAAGCTTGCTGTTGGAATTTAGAAGAGTAAGGTGAATCGATGAACCTATCTTAAAGACTGTGATTTCCTTGACAGAATTCATGAGCCAATGCAATTAGCTCCGATGTGGACAACTTGTGGATCATCACGTTAACGATTTCCGGCAGCAATTGACTGAAAAGACTACATTGGAATTTCGCGCAAAGGTATTAAGACTACATTGGAATTCCGGACAAGGCTTTAAGACTACATCGACAAAATTGGAAAGTTTAAGACCGATTTAGTAATTTTCCCATAGGTTTGGCATTAGAACAATTAATATGAAATCTCATGTTGAATATGACCACTCTTACAACAATACACCTCATGCTTGGAATTAATGTTTTTGCATTCGGTTTTGACTGTAAAGAATTAGCCATGAAAACCGTACGATAAAAAACAATGCTACTTACCATAACATAAAATCCAAAAAATTTGATACTTACACCAAACAAAACCTGTCTGCACTTCCTCCTCCTCCGTTCAATAATCCGAACGTTAGGTTCGGCTGGCGGATTGAGCCACCGGTGACTCCACCCTACTTTCTCAGCCGCCGGAAGAGCCTGTTTTTCCCACAGGATTTTATATCAATATCACAAAGATAAAAAGAGAATCAGAAAGGAACATGGATGAATCCCCGCGCTGGAAATTGAAGGGCGTTGGACGATTTGAGAGAAGCAGCAGCCCTCGTTTGACTGCCGGGGGAAAGCATTCAAGAAGTAATTGCACAATGGATAAGAAGTAATTGCACATTGGGGTTGGGGCTCCTCAAATACTAAATGTCCTTACTCGTCTCTTCACTGTCGAAAGAACTTAATTACAAGTAGACCTATCAAAATGGATCATAAGCCTATTTCTTAACTTATATATGACGGCTGAGTTGTTGAATGTGTTAGTTATATTTAAGAAATTGGTCATAAATGAGTTTAAACATAATATAGGTGTTAAATAAGTCATAAATGGGTTTATAACTTACTTAAACCCAACTCACTTTTATAACTCTCTCTTCATTCTCCCTCGCCCTCACTCTATCCCGCGCTCACTCACTCCGTTCTCATCTCAGTTTGATATGAGTTTTTCTAGATTTTGTTAAATATGGAAGTCTTTTCACAATATGGGTCAGGTCGGGTCGGGTCTGGGTTGAGTATTGGTCGGCCGGATTGGATATGGATCGTTAGATTTGTATTGCATAGAAATTGGTCGGAGCGGGTTAAATAGATCTATTTGGATCGGATCATTTTCGACCTGATCCACCCATTTGAGGGATCTAATTATAAAAGAGCTTGCCAACAAGAAAATAGAAGACGTAATCAAAACAACTATGAAAGACTGACTTGACGTAAAATTAGATAGGAACTTGATAAAACTAAGAGAGTTCTAAACATATAGAGCAAAGAAGAAGAAAAAAATCAAATACCCAAAAGCCATTGAATGCTGAAAACAGATGATTGGTGTTGAAGGTGGGTTAGAGGCCAACTGACCCCACACCTAACTTTCTTATCCAGTATGAACAACAACCGTGTGCTCCATTCATGGTCTGTCCCTTTCCTTCTTTGCCTTTTCACTGGGCTTTGGACACTCATCAACTCCTCATCTTCTTCTTCTTTTGGGAAGGTTTGGCACAAGGAAAAAAGAAACAAGACAAAGCCACTATTGAATTCAACGAAGTCACCCTGCTATGGGAAAGCACTAGAAGTGGGTTTGCTCCTTTCTATGTACTGTTTGTGTCTGCTTCATGATCAGTTTAGGCAGGCATATGCTCTTGAAATTATTCCTAAGTTTCTCTCGGCAGATTTAGCGCTGGCACATAAACTTGAGCAGTGAATTATTTGCGTTTCGCATGCACATAAGCTCAAGATATAAGGGAAATTTGTCCAATTAGTCATGGACTTACTGTATGTATACCAATTCAGTCCTAAACTTTTCGATTTTGCCAATTTACTCCTAGACCTGTCACGCCCCGAACCCCCGTCGAGCCCGCGACATCCCGCCTCCGGTCGAACAGAGTGTGACGTCCCAGGAATAACGTCGCCGACCCAACGATCCATCAGAGTTAACTCGCGGCGGAAGCAATAAAAAATCCCGGACATTAAAATTGGAGAACACCAGGAAGGAACAAATCGACAAACCACCAAGCATATATTACACTTCCAAATATTTACATCATCCGCCAATACAAACCACAAAATAATTTATAAGCACACCGAACTATGAACTCCAAACCACCAAAATATCAAGATCAGCTCTCTAGGTCAGCACTATCCAAAAATGGGGCGCATCCTCCTCCCAGAACTATCCCCTACGCCCTCTCGAAGGCGTCCACTCTGACTCACTGTCCTCGGCATCACCACCTGAATCCTCCGCAGCTGTCTGCTCACCCGACGACTCCGAGTCGACCTCAATCTCGACATTCAGGCGGGGGCTCTGAAATGGTTTGGTTGAAACAACCATGAGATCACATCTCAATAAGTCACAACCTAAGCCCCACCTAGGCTATCACGTAATTCCAGACACATCTAAACGCGCAACCAAACAACCACACAACCAGCAATCAAACGTTCACACATACCTGGACTCTCTGCATACGCACCATGCACGTTAGCCCACAATCCCAACATACAATTCTTGCACACATGCCATCACACACTTTCCACATATCAATACACACGCCAATCATACCACAGCAATACATCACAGCCGCGTGCGTGCCTCGATTATAAAGCAAAACCTACTTGGGCACGTCCCATACCATGCCTAGCAGATTTTACCCCATAATCGCGCACTGCATCACGCGATACAAACACACTCGCACACTAACTCACACCATGCATCACTTTCACAATTCTCACATGTCAAGCCAAATCCCGCTCGTTCTCAACCTTTCCACCACTACCGTGCCCGCGTAAAACGCATCAGGCCAACGGTCTTCTGACCTCGTCAGGCATCGACACCCCGTCGGGCCGGGCATTGTCACCTCGTCAGGGACGGCATCGTCCCGCGTAAACGAACACGCCTCAGGACGGAATCCTACACACACTTTCCTTCTACCGCGCCCGCGTAAAACTCATCAGGCCAACGGTCTTCTGACCACGTCAGGCATTGTCACCCCGTCGGGCCGGGCATCGTCACCTCGTCAGGGACGGCATCGTCCCGCGTAAACGTACACGCCTCAGGACGGACCTCACCCCGCGTAAACGTACACGCCTCAGGGTCTCACTTTTCAAACCAATCCTACATTCCAGTACCTTCGTTCCACTCAAACCACATTTGTCACACGGCCACACCTACACACTGCCAAACACGCACACCTCACACACATTTCACAATTTCACATTCTCGTCACACGAACACGCCACCCAATCACACATTCTTGGCACGCGAATACAATACGCGAATGCACTATCACACCACCACATCTCACGGCCAAACACACACGGCATATCATCAATCCACATTCAAACACACATGCAGGCTCAATTCCCGCCACAAGGGCAGCAACCATTCAACCTCGACACCCCCACCATTCCGCTCATAAAAACGAACATCCAAAAAATCAGGGTAAAATTGGGCAGTTTATACAGTGACCGAAATCCCATCAAAATAAATAGTAAACGAACTCCAAAAATTCTCAATTTTGGATATGTCACAAAACACATCCCGATAAACATTTCTTATGAGAACACGAAATCCGGTTCAAACTGCAACCATGCCTTTTTGTCCCTCGAAATCAGACCAAAATCAGTTTGCTCCAACAGAATATTTTGTCCTCAAAATACATTTATTTCAACACCCAAATCACCTTGAAAAGCGTTGAAATTTTTATATGTTATAGCCACGAATTTCCACAACAACTTTTGTGAAGGAAGAATTTTGAAAATAGGCCTGGAAAAATTTATAAAAATTCGAACAGACCCGAAGGTCGGATGAACAGTAAATCGGACAGTTTTATTTCGGTCCAAAGATGGACTTCCGAATGACCTCAAATGATTTCCAAAAATTCCCAAATTAAAGTATGTTGTACCTCAAGATATTGGAAACAACTTTCATGAAGAAACCTTCCTCAAATTCGGCACACAAAATTCTCTACAAAAATAGAAAGCCGGGTGGGTACAGTAACCGCGAATCCGCGATTCACCCCGAACCTCACGGATTCAAGCCCGAACCGATTTCTACCGAATTCCAACCGCCAAAACTCATTTCCCGATGTCTAATCCAACCCGCAACACCCGCTAACAGTCACGATCAGCCATCAACAACCACGATCAGCCACCAAAAACCATTATCGACACCTTAATCACCCTCTAAATCCTCTAAACCATACCCGAACGAGTCCGAAAATACCCGACGTCCTAAATAGGGATTAGATCGCGACTTAC